CCCAGAAAGTCACATACTTTTTTATGGGCCTGGATACTCAAAGCATCTTCCATTCATTCAGGAAAATTGTTAAATTTGGCAGCCAGCACCGTCTATGCTTAGTCTTTTAACTCTGGCAGTGCTTTATAGTAGGAAAAAAGCATCTAAACAAGTGGTCCTTAAAGCTTTCCAATAACCTTTCTTCTCATGTCATCGCTATTCTTCTAGACACCTAGAATTTTAGTCCTCTCTTTGTTCATTCTCTACTCACTCCTGAGCTCATTCATTTTCGTATACTTTCATTTCTCATTACCCCACCTGATTCAAGACTGCTGAGCGATACCAACATTCTATAAGTCTAGTGTTACAAAGTTTTATTCATTTTCTTTTGTGCAATTTCTCACATTTACATGTTTTCTATTTTTTGGAGATAAACATAGAAAAATTGCAAAATGGTAAAAAACCTTCCATGTGTCATTTACCTAGATGGTAAATTGTTAAAATTGTGCCCCATTTGCTCTCTGTATGCATGTTGTGTGTGTGTAATTATACATGCAATTTTTCAGAAATATTGAGAATAAATTGCATCTGTCATACCTCTTTACCACTAAATACTTAAGTACATAAGAGTTCCTAAGATTGGCGATATACTTTTTTTTTTTAAGATTTATTTATTTATGCAAGAACCGGGGTACAGGCCAGATGCGCGGGAGGGTGAGAGGATTCACCAGAGACAGAGTGGGGAACTGATGGCAGACTAATGAAATACACTGCTGAGGGGAGCAGCGGGTGAGACAGGCGAGGTCTGCAGTGCCATGTGGGACCCTCGCCGGCCGGCCGGCATCAAACCAGTGCTGCAGAGGCTACGGACAGCTTCACGGCGCAGCGCTCAACCGCCTGCGCCACCAGGGGAGGCCCAAGATTGGCAATATACTTTTATATAACCATAGTACAGTTCTCAACTTCAGGAAAATGAACATCAATAGAATACTTTTATTTCTTCCTTACATATTTCAATTGTGTCAATGGGCCTTGTAATGAATGTTCTTTATAACATTTTCCCCCTTCAATATAAAATCCAGGCCAAATCTTGCATTGAATTTAATTGTCATATTTCTTTACTCTGAAGTAGTTTTAAAGCTATTTTTTTCATGATCTTGACATTTTTGAAGAAATTTAGTAGCCCTTTCCCATTTTTAAAAAATAAAATGTTCTGTCTTTTGTTTGCTGTGTCTTCATAAGTAGATTCAGGTTACTGGAATACTGCAAGAGTGATACTGTGTTCATCTCAAAGTAGCAGATGTGGAGGACCATGAGGTTCATATTCTCCTCACTGGTGATATTAATTTTGATCACCCAATCAAGTTGTAATCTGATGTCTCCACTGTGTAGTTATTATTTCACCTTGTAAAAAATATGCAAAACTGTAGATGTTCACATTAAGATCATGCAAAATATATTGCTTCTCATCAGAAATTTTCCTTATGTTTATGATTCCTTACATTAACGAATCAAGGAATCAATACTGAGATAGTGGCAAATGATGATTTTCCAATGGTAGCACTCCCTCCAGTCAGCTCCATTGTAACAAAGAGCCTCCCTTTTCTTCCATTTATTATGTATTGAATATTTATTCTAAGTGTGAGCTCATTAATTCTCATTTTTCCAGAGATTTTCAATTTTTTAAAATTTTCAATACTTATTTTGATGTTCAAATTGTCTCATATTTGGGAACCCCTTCAAACTGCATCCTGTCTTTTTAATAGAAGCCCTTTTTAGTACTTTTTTACATTTTGGCTTAATACAATAATCCAAGACTGCCCCTTTTTATTCCTACTCATGAGCATTTCATTGTCCCACACTTGGATTAATGCAGTAGCCTCTATCCTAAATGATCTTGCTGTTGTATATACTTCCTTTTAAGTTCTATCCTAGAGTTATTTTTAACTCTTCTCATAGTTTTCCTGGCTCTCAAACCCATTTAATTAACTGTCCTTTCTGTATATGTTAGTTTTATACAAACACTTTTCAGGACACACTAAAAAAAAATTGTTAATGATAATAAAATAATAGCTACCATTACTAACCATATGCCAGTCTGTTTATATGAACTATCTCATTTAATTTTCACAACAACCACACAAAGTAGATACTAGTGTTTTCTCCATGTTGAGAGGAGAAAACTATGAATCAAAGAGGTTAAATAATTTAGCTCAAGGTCGCATAAGCTAGTAAGATATGCAGTTGGAATTTGAATCCTGAAAATTTTACTCTAGAGATAGTACTATAAACTGATAATACAGTACCACTTATGACCTAACTCTCTTCCCTCCCCTCAATTTTTTTCTGACATTGATTATTTTATTTATTCAGGGTAATCCTGGTCGTCCAGGTCTCAATGGAATGAAAGGAGATCCTGGTCTCCCTGGTGTTCCAGGATTCCCAGGTATTTGAAGGCATGTTTTCAGTTTCCCCTTTACATTAAACTCCTTTGGGACAAGATACCCCTATTATGACTTGACTCAGTAAAGGATGTGACCCTGTTTTTTTCTATGCAATTGTATATATCGTCTTTGCAGGCATGAAAGGACCCAGTGGAGTACCTGGTTCAACTGGCCCTGAGGGAGAACCAGGACTTACTGGCCCCCCAGGTAAGACTTATTCTTGGAGCTAGTTATACCTAATACTTAACCACTTTGAAAAATTTGAAAGTTTGCGTTCTGTCTTTTAACCAAGCTGTCAAGAGTTTCAGTTCCCAACAGGGAAAATAGGAAAATAGGTAAGACTCTCCCTCTATTTACAATTTCTCATGTTCTCCTATTAATGTAATATTAATAGCAGACCTTTAAATTTAAGATAGGTGCAGGACCAACAGGAATGCTTCATTGAGACATTTATTGGCTTTCATACTTACTTTCCCATATCCAATCAAACATATCAAAATAGAAGTTATATGTGTATGTTTATATATTTAATTATATGTGAAATTATAAGTAAATATATACATATATGAAAATAGTTGTTGGGTCTCCCCGGTGGCGCAGCGGTTGAGTGCTGGGTTTCGAAGTTGCCCACAGCCTCTGCAGCGCCGATTCGATCCCTGGCTGCTCCCCGGCCACTGGAAGAGGGTCCCGCATGGCGCTCAGACCTCTCCTGCCGCCCGCTGCTCCCCTCAGCAGTGTACCTCACTCCTTCTGCCTGCTTTGCTCCCCGCTCTGGCTCTGGTGAATTCTCTCACCCTCCCGCGCTTCTGACTGTACCCAGTGCTTGTATAAATAAATAAATAAAAATTAAAAAATAAATAAATAAAGTTCAGTGTACTTTCTCTCCTTTAAAAAAAAAAAAAAAGGAAAGAAAATATTTGTTTTTGCTGAGACAGATACTTCCTATAAACTGTGAAATAGTGCATCTGCTAAATTCTCCAACTACTCCCTTGACAAATACAACAAATAAGTACTGCAAATGATGTTAGAATCAGAATGAACTTCTCAGGAAATAGAATTGTTTTCCCCTGACATCAGTGTTCACAGATTTGTAATGGATTAGACTTCCTAGTAGCCAAATGATGCTACAAGACATAAAAATAGGGACAGGATGCCTATTCTTTCCATTGATACTAATTTTTTTTTTTTTCAGTTTTCTGGGTGATAGTTTTTCCAAACTGATTTTTTGTTGGAAATGGAAACATTCCAGGGCCTCCCAGTGGCGCAGCAGTTGTGAACTGGGCTGCAAAGCTGCCCGCAGCCTCTGCAGCACCTGTTCGATCCCCAGATTCTGGCGAGGGTCCCACATGGCACGCAGACCTCTCCTGCCACGCCCGCTGCTCCCCTCAGCAGTGTATTTCGTCAGTCTGCCTGTTCTGTTCCCCGCTCTGGCTCTGGTGAATTCTCTCACCCTCCCGCATTTCTGACTATACCCAGTGCTTGTATAAACAAATCAATCAATCAATCAATCTTTAAAAAAAAAAGATTGGAAACATTCCAGTACATGCAGTTGGTTTCTCTCATACCAATTATTACTTTGACCTCAGGTCACGTTGTCATATATACCTTCTGACCTTTCCATTCCCTGTCTACAGATGTGTTTGTTGTACCTCTTAGGTCCCCCTGGATTACCAGGTCCTTCAGGACAGAGTATTATAATCAAAGGAGATGCTGGTCCACCAGGGATACCAGGCCAGCCTGGATTAAAAGGTCCACCAGGACTACCAGGACCTCAAGGTTTACCAGGTATCGTTACAAACCATTTTTTTTTTTTTAGTCTCTTCCATTTGAGAACATTTCTTCATTCTGCTTTCACTTATCAGAGCTTATCTCTGATGATAGGAGTTTCAGTAACTAGTAGAATAGCAGACCACCACAGGGCCTATTTCTTATTTTCTTGAAAGTGTTCATTTCTTGGGGGCCTCCCTGGTGGCAAAAAAAAAAAAAATGTTCATTTCTCATGTCCTAATTTCTTTTAGATCCAGTTTAATTTCTTCTATCTCCTCTGGCTATTCAAAATTGAACAGTTAAGTAATGTTATTTAAAACTCTGTAATGAAATTAATATGTATTTAAGATTTGATGTTTTCTCTATTTCATTCATCAGAAAGATAGAAGGCTGATTTGGTAGGCCATCAATTCCCTACCATGAGACCTCATGATTTTAAAGTAGTATAGTTGGCTCTTTGATTCTGTGCTTGCAGCCAGCTTTGATTATAAAAGAAAGCTAAAAACTAACCTCAGTCTTTCTTTCTTATTAAGTATCATATAGCAGTTGTTCCATAAATAAAGTACAACAGTCTTACCTGTGGTGGAATAGGTAGGAAAACTTGAGTCTTGCTCTCCTATCTTGTTCTGAAGGCAAAGAGAACACAAGTACCATAGACATTTCCGTAGGGCAAATGGATTGTTTAAAAGTGAAGCTAAATCTTTGTTTGCTTCTTTTGTGCTAAACTTGAGCTATTCCCACACTTACCTGAATTAAAGACAAACCCAGATTATGAATTCAGTGGTATTCAAAAACCTTAAATGTCTCCTAGATCCATTTATATGTAGATTTTTTCTATCTACATTTAAAGCCCTATTGCTTTTTCCTCTAGGTCCAATTGGCCCTCCAGGAGATCCTGGACACAATGGACTCCCTGGCTTTGATGGTGCAGGAGGGCGCAAAGGAGACCCAGGTCTCCCAGGCCAGCCAGGTGAAACAAGTAAAACATTGCTGCTGATAGTAGTCTTTAAGTTTGAGAGACCTCTGGACATTTGACTTCCATTTGGAACTATGAGAGCCTCTTCTTGAAGTAGCAGAACTAGCTGGCAAATCTGGTGCTGGGAAAAAATGGGATGTCACATACAAGTATATTTGCCAGTATATGGGAAGTATAGAAAGGTTGCTTTTTTATATGTGTTTAGAGCACTGCGAAACCCAACTCTTCCTCAAAATGGTAATTTTCCAGGTACTCACTTTATTCATCTAATCTGAGAATTTTCAATACGTTGATTTAAATCTTGATGATTTTGAAATTATTGGGAATCCTTCCACATTTGAAAATAATTATAATAAAGTATATCCCCCCCCAATTCAGTAAATATAATTGGAGAGCTTAAGTGATCCCCATAAATCTTTCAGAGTCATAGTGGCATCTTGTACTGAGATGACAAGTAGACATGAAGTTTTTTGTTTTTTTTTTTTTTTTAAAGATTTATTTATTTATTTATACAAGCACTGGGTACAGTCAGAAGCGCTGGAGGGTGAGAGAATTCACCAGAGCCAGAGCAGGGAACAGAACAGACAGACTGACAAAATACACTGCTGAGGGGAGCAGTGGGTGGCAGGAGAGGTCTGCGTGCCATGTGGGACCCTCGCCAGTGGCTGGGGATCGAACTGGCGCTGCAGAGGCTTTGGGCAGCTTCGCAGCCCAGCGCTCAACTGCTGCACCACCAGGGGAGGCCCGACATGAAGATTTTTGAGGTCACTCATTAATAGGTGCTCCTGATACTATTGAATCTGGTCTTTACTATATTTCAGTCTACTTCCAAAAAGAATTTGAGTCAATTTTTAATAAGAAATACACCAAAGTAAGATTGCTAACTTAGAGATAAGTCACAAATTCAATAGATAGTTAATGCATTAGCAACTCTAGATAATATAACTCTAAATGATACAAAGAATTTATATTGGTAAAAACAGTCTCTCAGTGTAAATAAGACAGAGTAGTGATACATACGGCCTTCCTAGAATCAACACCCTGCCATTTCATTAACTGTATTTCTAAAGAAGAACCAAGTTAGTGTCATCCTCATTAAATGTAGGCATTGCTGTGAAATTTTCCCAAAATAAAAGTCTATGCACACCATGGCATAAGCCTATATATGGAGAGAATTTTTTAAATTTTTTTAATATGTTTTTATATCATTGTTAATTTTTATACAATGTTTGCTTCCCCACACCCCCCTCAGGTGGAGTCCCCATAGATTTCCTTCACCAGTGCACCTGTGCACCATCACATTAGTCCCCTGTGCTCCTCCCTCCCTCCCTCTTATCTCTCTCCCTTCTCTTCCCCTGCAGGATGTCTCTGATTTATAATCGTCTGTTTGTTTTTGTTTTGTTGTGTTTTGTATTATTATTATTTTTTCCCCTGATGTCTTATTTGGTTCCCCTATGTTCTTCTATAAGTAAAACCATTTTTTTTTTTCTTTTTCCTTCTGACTTATTTCACTGAGCATAATTTCTTCTAGCTCCATCCATGTTGCTGCGAATGGCATGAGTTTATCTTTTTTGATTGCTGAAGAGTATTCCATTGTGTATATATAACACATCTTAGGAAAAGAATTTTTAAATGTGCTCAAATCAAAGACCATATCATTCATCAATGTCCTAATATTTAAATGCTGAAAATGAGGACCTTCCTGGTGTCACAAGGGGTTAAGACACAGCCCATGAAGCTGTCCGCAGCCACTGCAGCATGAGTTTGATCCCTGGCCAGGGAGCTACCCACATGGCACAGCAGACCTCTCCTGTCTCACTTGCTGCTCCCCTCAGCAGTGTATTTCAGTCAGCCTGCCTATTCTGCTCCCCACTTTGTCTATTGTGAATCCTCTCATTCCTCACACCTCTGGCCTGTACCCCATTCACCCAGAATTTATTTAGTGCCTAATGTCATCAACCAATTTCAGGAGGGAAGAAGAAAAAAAAAGCATTTCAATCTCTTTGAGGGAAGGGACTACAGCTTATTTATCTCTGAATCCATCATATCTGACATTGCTTGTATAGACACTATAAAAATTAACTAAATTAAATAATCAAAGGAGATTATATTTTGTCATTAGCTATAATAATGAATCAGAGCTTACTTATTTTTGTCTACTGATTATTTCATGGAAATAGGTACCCGTGGTTTAGATGGTCCCCCTGGACCAGATGGATTGCAAGGTCCCCCAGGTCCCCCTGGAACCTCCTCTATTGCCCATGGATTCCTCATCACACGTCATAGCCAGACAACAGATGCACCACAGTGCCCACAGGGAACTGTCCAGATTTATGAAGGCTTTTCTCTTCTGTATGTACAAGGAAATAAAAGAGCTCATGGCCAAGATTTGGGTAAGATAATCAACATCATTTTTTTAATTATGCATTTTGATTTTGTTTAGAAAATCCTGTTGGGTCCTTAGCCAAATTGCATCTCTCTATTCTTTTAAGTCTTCTAAATTGAAGAACATGTCAAGAGCAGCTGAATGTACTCATGATGAGTTTTAAATGAATAATATTTAACTTCAGACTAAAATCACTATTTAGCTAGTGTGAAGTAAAATTCAAGGCTTTTGGAAAAGGCCATATTTATTTCTGTTAGCTTAGTTATTAAGAAAACAGATTCCCTGGACTCGCTGTAGCATAGCAAGCTTCTTGAGTAGGCAGTATTTATAACTCGTGGGGGATTGTTTCATCTTCTCTGACACTGGTCTTCATCAAGTTGAAAGATAAGTTCTAAAGATAGTCTTGGTTCCTAGATCAAAGAAAGTAAAATCATTACTTAATTATGCCAGTTTTGGCAGATTCTATCAATCTAAAAATATGTCCATTTCTTCTAGGTTGTGCAGTTTGTTTTAACAGATGTTTATAGTATGTTCTTTTGATCCTGTCTATTTCTGCAGTATCTGGTATAATTTCACCTCTTTCATTTCTGATTCTATTTGTTTAGGTTTTTTCTCTTTTTTTCTTCATAACCCTAGATCAGGGCTTGTTTATTTTATTAATTTTTTTCAAAGAACCAGCTCTTGGCTTCACTGATCTTTTGGACTGCCTTTTGTTTTCTCTTTATTTCTGCCCTAATTTTTATTATTTATTATTTCTCTCCTACTGATTTTTGGAAACATTTATTCTTCTTTTTCTAGTTCCTTCAGCTGTAGAGTTAGATTGTTTATTCTGAGATTCTTTTTGTGGTTAATTTCTAGCTTTATACCATTATGATCCGATAAGATGATTGATATAATGTCTGTTTTCATATATTTTCTAAGACATGTTCTGCCCTAGTATATGATCTATTTATTTTGGGGTGGAAAGCTCTATAAATTTACATTAAATCTATCTGGTCCAACACATCATTTAATGTCTTTATTTCTTTGTTTTCTATTTGGATGATCTGTCCATTCATGTCAGTGGTGTCTTGAGGTCTCCAACAATAGTTATTTATTTATTTTAAAGATTTATTCATACAAGAACTGGGGTACAGGCCAGAGGTGTTGGGGGTGAGAGGAGTCACCAGAGACAGAGTGGGAAACAGAACAGGCAGATAGACTGAAATACACTGCTGAGGGGAGCAGCAGGCGAGACAGGAGAGGTCTGCTGCGCCATGTGGGTAGTTCCCTGGCTGGGGATCAAACCTCGTACTGCAGTGGCTGCGGATAGCTTCATAGGTTGTGTCTTAACCCAGTGAGCCACCAGGGAAGCCCAATAGTTATATTTTTGTTGACATGTTGGTTTAGGTCTATTGATATTTGCTTTTATATAACCTCCTGTTTCTATGTTAGGTTCATAAATATTAATAATAGCTATTATCTTCTTCTTGGAGTCTTCCCTTGATCATTTCGTAGTATCCATTTTGTGCCTGATTACCTGTTTTAGCTGAAAGTCTAGTTTATGTGTTATGAGAATAGCATTTCCTCTTTTCTCTATAGATTATTGACGTGTACAACCTTGTTTCAATCTTTTAATTTTAACTTGTTTTTGTCTTTCAATTTTAAATGGATCTCTTATACAGAAAGTATAGATAGATGAAACTTTTTAGCCCACTTTGTCAGTCTATGCCTTTTCATTGGTGATTTTAGAACATTCATGTTTAGGGTGATTATACTGATTATTAACAGTCATTTTGGTTTTGAGTTTTGACTTACAGATTTCTGTTGTTTCTTTTTCCATTTGTTTCTCTCTGCTCTTTAGGATATTTTTCCCTAGTGATTCTATCTATTTCTTTATTTCTTCACCTCTGAGCCTCTATTCTGGATTTTTGGTTAGTGGTTATCATGGTGTTTTTGCTTAAATTACTATTTGTAGGGCCTCCCTGGTGGCGCAGGCAGGTGAGCACAGTACTGTGAAGCTGGCCGCAGCCTCTGCAGTGAGGGTTGGATCCCGGCCGGCCGTGGACATACCCACATGGTGCAGCAGACCTCTCCTGTCTTGCCCGCTGCTCCCCTCAGCAGTGTGTTTCAGTCAGTCTGCCTGTTCTATTCCCCGCTTTGTCTCTGGTGAATCCTCTCACCCTTCCACACATCTGGCCTATACCTGGTTCTTGTATGCATGAATAAATCTTTTAAAAAATTACTATTTGTAGATACGTCTTTTGTGAGCTAATGCAAACTCTTCAGCATTTAACTGTAGAGGTTCTGTCCGTTTCTTTCTCTCCTTTAGTGTTTTTGTTGTTGACTTATAATATTCTTTTTTTTTAAGATTTATTTATTTATTTATACAAGCACTGGGTACAGTCAGAAGCACGGGAGGGTGAGAGAATTCACCAGAGCCAGAGTGGGGAGCAGAACAGGCAGACTGACGAAATACACTGCTGATGGGAGCAGCGGGCGTGACAGGAGAGGTCTACGTGCCATGTGGGACCCTTGCCCATGGCCGGGGATCGAACTGGCACTGCAGAGGCTGTGGGCAGCTTTGCAGCCCAGCACTCAACCACTGCACCACCAGGGGAGGCCCGATTTATAATATTCTTGTTCATGTTTCTAACTTTGTATTCCTACTGTCATTTTGCTTAGAGTTTTGTGTTTTGTTTTTTCTTTTCTTGTAGAAGGACTCCTTTCAATATTTCTTGTACTGCAGGTCTGGTAGTGATAAAAATGCATTAGCTTTTGTTTGTCTGGGAAAGCCTATATTTTCGCCTTCATATTTGAAGGATAATTTTGTAAGGTAGAGTCTTTTTGGCTGGAAGTTATTGTTTTTTTGGATTGTGAACACTTCATTCCACTCTCTTCTTGCCTGTAGACTGTTTGGGGTGAAATCTGAAGAAAGCCTAATTTGGGTACCTTTGTAAATTATCTTCTTAGTTTCCTATAATTTTTTTTCTTTATCTTTGATTTTTGATCATTTGACAATGATGTGGTTTGGTGTAGGTCATTTTTCATGTAGACATTCCAGTGTTCTCTTTGCTTCCTAGATATCCATACTTAATTAATTCCATAGTTTTGGTAAATTGTCAGCTACTGTTTCTTTGAATAGGCTCTCTGTTCCCTTATCTCTCTCTTTACCTTCTGGTATAACTGTTATCATTATGTTTCATCTTCTAATCGAGTCTGTTATTTATCACTTAGTTTCCTCATTTTCCTTATATTTTGTTTCTTTCTTTTTTTCTAATTGACTGATTTGTAAATTTGTGTGTTCTATTTCCGAAATTCTTTCTTCTGCCAATTCAATTCTATTTAAAGTACCTTCTATATTTGTCTTCATTTCATTCAGAGTCTTTTGTGTTTGTTTAATATTTTTAATCTCTTTGGTGAAGAACTCACTTTGTTCCTGGATCTCCTTTCTACAATTTTGCAACTGCCTATGTGTCTTTGAGCAACCTTCCAATAGCCATTTAGCATTTTTTAAATTGTTTTAATTTTTTAAATTAATTTTTTAAATTTTCCAAATTATTGCAATAGGCAAGAGAAAGCATAGTTCTGTTTTTACTGTAAAGGGAACTGAAAAATTACAACAGCAAGGCAAAAAAACACTAAATAACTGACAGTGGTCATAACAATATGACACTTTAAAACTTTCATTAAAGTTCGCTTAATAGGAGTATGAATTGGTACAATCCCTTTGTAACACTATTTAATGATCTTCTAAACCTAAAAATGCATATCCTGTGACCCAGCATTTTCAGCCAAGACTCATTTCCAATGAAAATGTAAATACATGTTAACTAAAATACGTACACGAAACTATTCATACCAGCACATTAAAGATAACCCTAAACTAAGCAATTTCCAAAAAATCATCACCACATATAGAAAAATAAACAGTGATATATTGATGCAATTGAATATTATTCAGCAAAAGAATATTGTTTTAAAGTCGTTTTATGATAGGTCCTCTGTTTCTATTTCTTTTGTATATGTTCTTCGTATTTTGCTTTTTCGTCTTGTGTTCAGATGTTTCTTGCTTCATAGCCATGTGTATTGCCTTATTTGTTTTTTTGTAGTTGGAATGTGCAAAATATTGTGTTTCTCTTCTTAGTTTACATTGGTTTGAGGTGCAGACAGAAGAGGGGTCTAGGACTTAAATACTCAAATTGTTTTATTGAGGAGTGAGTTTGGTCTCCTCTCCTGTCTCTCCACAGCAAGCTCTGTTTGGTGTTTTCATTGCCCTAACTTTCCACCCCACCTCCCTGTTACTCCTTTCTGCGTTAGACTATGATCTGTGAAGTTTAAGTCTTTTGGTGAGGGAGACTAGTTCTGGTCCAGAAGGGTTATTTCCAGGACTCACTCGGGCCTGGCAGGCAGGAGGTGCCTGAGTAGGGTGTGTGCCCTATTGCCATAGGCAATGACTGCCATAGCAGCCCCACCGCTGCCATTCTACCTCCAAGGGACTGGGGCAACAAGCTGTGCATGCCCAGTAGATACTTTCCAAGGAATTGATGAGTTCCTTCTCACCAAGCTTTTTCTCTGCTATTGGGCCCTCAGTGGAGCCTGGCCTGTCTGCCTGGCAACTCTTTTATTTCTCACTTCCGTGAAGGATGGGTAGCGCTTTCCTTGCCCACACTGTAGAATTCCCAGTGTTCCATGTCGGGACCTGAGCCCACATGTGACTGCGCTCCCTTTCTGAAAAGTTCCTCCAAGAAAACTCACAGTGCCCTAGAGTGCCCAGTCATACCATGGATAGCCAACCCCTAGCCCGTTTTGCCAACTGAGGTATCTGCTCTCCTCTCCACACTGCCCTTCACTTCTTCCCACTCCTTCCCCACTGTCAGCTACTAACCTTAGTTCAAGTCTTCCTTGGGAAAGTCCTGGAATCTGTTAGGGAACTTCCAAGTCTTCCTTTCAGCAAATATTTTTTTATAGCTGTTTTTAGGGGAGAAGGTGATCCTAACCTCCCCGTTCCACCATGATGTGGGTGGGGCAGGTTTGTAGTTTTGAATATGTTTATTTGTTTGCAAATCATTACATTGGTACATTTAAAAGTATGTCATAAAACTTTGTTTCTAAAAATCAATATTTACAAAACACTAGAAATGACAGCTGGGAATGCTGAAATGTCATTTGTAAAGTCCCAGACTCCAGTACTACTAAGTAGAGAATAGACAGCTAAGAGACAATAAGCTATCTTAATACCTGGGACAGTATCAATTTAAACTTCTGATGAAAAATCTTAGATGTCAACTTTAAAGTGTGAAGTTGTATATAATTTTTCATTGTTCTTTTGTGAGTAAATGAGAAAACAAATGTCTGATCACTGGTTGAGATACCCTCTATTGCCATTACCAGTTCTGCAATTCAAAGATTTTAGTTCTGTTTCTTCACACCCATTTCTTTCTTTTCTTTCTTATTTATTTTTTCTTTTTTATTATTCACCTCCAAAACTGTTCATGGTTGCTGTGCGTATTGATTAGCATTACACTTGTCCCTAGGCTAAAAGAGATAGCAAACCCATAGAAGATACATACTGTGGATATCTTAAGAGTAAGAGAGCAAAGTGAAGGGGATATACTCATACAATACTACAGGACTCACTTGTCCACAGTAAATTACTCAGTATTCTCCATAAGCCACCGTTGTTTATAAGATGTATCACCAATTCAGAAACAGGATTGGGGATATATTATGAGCTATCACAATAAATTTTAAGTAATTTATGAGATATATCCTGATTTTAGAAACTTTAAAATATGAGTAAATGTACATCTTATAATTGAGTGACTAAAGTGTACTTATTATCTAAGAAATGTATGTTTCTCTTTGAAGAATTGTTAGTGTTTTAGAAGAAACTAACACATCATCATGATGCAGTTCCTTCATCATCTTCTTCCCTAATTTTCCCCAGGAACAGCCGGAAGCTGCCTTCGTCGCTTCAGTACTATGCCTTTCATGTTCTGCAATATCAATAATGTTTGCAACTTTGCCTCAAGAAATGACTATTCTTACTGGCTCTCTACCCCAGAGCCCATGCCAATGAGCATGGAACCCCTGAAGGGCCAGAGTATCCAGCCATTCATTAGTCGGTGAGACACTGGTATATCTATTACTCTTACCAAACCCCAGTTAGTTTAGTTACTTAAAAATGAGTCCAAAGCTAATAATGATCCTATTGCTCCTAGATTAGGTAGCACAGAGGTGCATTTAATAATACTGGATTCACAGAAAAGATAAACTTATGCCATTCGCAGAAACTTGGATGGAGCTAGAAGGGATTGTGCTCAGTGAAATATGCCAGAAAGAAAAAGAAAAATACCGGATGGTTTCACTTTTAGGAGGAATGTAGAGGATCCAAATAAGGGATCAGGGGAAAAAAAGTAATTATAATAAAGTAAATATCAAAATCAACAAGCACCTATAAACCAGAGACATTCTACATGGTGGGAGAGGGCAGTAAGGTCAAAAAGGGGCGGGAAGAGCACAAGGAACTATGGTGATGGTACATTGGTGAATTGGTGGTGGGAATTTCATGGGGACTATAACCAAGATTAGAAAGCATACATTGTACAAAAATGAAAAATGATATAAAAATATATATAAAAAATCTACAGTGAGATAAAAAATAATAATACTGGATTCCATATTTAGTTTGGTTTATATATATTCAGGATCTGCTTTTGACCAGGGCCCATGATAAACATAGTGTGATATACAAAGAACTCATAGTCATTAGGCAAATATACATAAATTAATCTCCTATATATCAGTCTTCAGCTACATGCTACAATAAATATAAGAAAAAATACTGTGAAAGCATAGAGGAAGGGATGTTTAATTCCCACTGAAGAAATCTGGAATGACTGTGTGGAAGAAACATGTTTTGAACTGGTTAGTCCTTGAAGGATAGGGAGAACTTGAGACCCAGGCAGTTTGTAAGAAGGATGGGCATACTAGGCAGAGAATATGAGAACTGGTAGTAGAATAATGTGTCTATAATGTAGTTTGTAAAGGTTGCATAGGAAGAAATGGTTGGAAAGTTAGCTTGTACCCAGATAGTAGAAGGCTTTCAGTGCCAGATTTTAGTTTGGAATTTGTTTGGTATATGATATGGAGCCCTGAAAAGTTTTTGAGCTATACTCCAGGGAATATTACCCATTTGCTATCTAGCATGGATTATAGAGGCATATCCCTGAGATAGAGAGATGGTTATAGCAGGTTGAAGAGGAAAGGAACTAGAATCGGTGAATTTCAGAGCTGGTAGGGTCAATAGAGGTTATCTCTACTAGTGATCAGGCCTTTCTTTTATCATTTACTCACAAAATAACAATGAAAAATGATGTACACCTTCACATTTTTAAGTTGACATCTAGCTGATCAACTAGATGAAGATATTGCTAAAGTTTGTCAGGAGTGGATTAGAACTTGGAGTGGGCAACTTGTATCATCTCATTATTAGCAAGAAGAGATAGTATTTGTAGTTAACTAGCTATGGGAAGGAGGAAATGATAGCTGAGAGTTTGGGGCATGAGTAAATAAAAGTGGGATGATACAATTAATAGAGATTTTCTAGTGTTTCACCACTTTAGAATCCTAGTTTAACTCAAATTCCTAGGCATAAAAGATACTGCCATTTTCATTCTAATCATGACTCAGTTGATCTAGGATTCTAGTAACCATAAATGAACCATTGGAAAGTCTAGTTTCTTTGACATTAAATGTTAAGCTTAATCCTAGTTCAGCCTTTCTCAGTAGCAGATTTATAGTACTCTTTCTTAATTCTAATACATTTGTCCAAAATTTTTTGGAATTTATATCTTATGATTTTTGTCCCAGCTATTGGGAGTAAAAGGTCCCCTACAGTAGTCCCTGTTTTGTAGATAAACTTTGCCAAATTAGTACAGTCACAATTTAAAAGGCCCCCTCGTGTTCATTTAAAGATTTGGTAGACTCAACTATACTTACTCTGTTGCTGTTTTACTTGATTTTATAGATTTAAGCCACATCTCCAAGTGCCTGGATACCAACTCAGCATTCTGAATGTATTAGACTTCTTCATATATGGCCATATGGCTAATAAATGTCTTTTGGACATAATGGGTGGGGATTAAAAAATGGTCTGTTTTTTATAATTTCCAGTTTAGCACGCATTGTCCTTAACACAGTTTCAGCATTACTAAATGTCTACCCTCCAGGTGGGTACTTTGACAGCAAGTAGTATCTACAATACACTAAGCCAAACTCTTACAGCAATTATGGCATTGACTATAGCAAGTATGAATACAAATTTAGGGAAGAATGGAAAATGAAAATGCTATAGCAGTGGTTCTGTAGTTCCTTGAAAAGAGCTTATGGTTTTATTTTATAACTTTGTTATGTATATTGGGAGATAGGACTTAAGCAAAAGAAATTCTCAAAATGTATTATTCTCTTTTTCTGAACATTGAAGACACTTTAATTGGCCTTTGTACCAGGAAGACTTCCAAAGAAGAGGGACTGCTATTTCCCACAGACTCACTCTGTAGATTGTGTTCTTTCTTGTTTTTCCCTACCAGATGTGCAGTATGTGAAGCTCCAGCTGTTGTGATTGCAGTTCACAGTCAGACCATACAGATTCCCCATTGTCCTCAGGGATGGGATTCTCTCTGGATTGGTTATTCCTTCATGATGGTAAGAAACTCCTTTGTCATCATAGCTGTATATTGTATCTACATTTCTTCCAGTATGAAGAATCCTTGACAGTTGTGAGGTAAGAAGCTTGAACTTCAAATAGCTTCTGTCTAAGCACTGTGTTCTCCCTCATAATCTGCCACTTACAAAAGTAGTTGGGCATCCTTGTTGTAAATAACTGTTCTCTTACCTCTGGCCCTCGTTCCTTCTCTAAGTTTGAATTTCTAGGCAAGCACAGAGCTTTGGGTATTCACTAAATGTGATGGTACATGGGAATTGTGGCACATTTTGCCTCTTCTTTTCTAGCACACAAGTGCAGGGGCAGAGGGCTCAGGTCAAGCCCTGGCCTCTCCTGGTTCCTGTTTGGAAGAGTTTCGTTCATCTCCCTTCATTGAATGCCATGGACGTGGTACCTGCAACTACTATGCCAACTCCTACAGCTTTTGGCTGGCAACTGTAGATATGTCAGACATGTTCAGGTGAGGTACTTAATGGCTTTAGTTTAGTTTAGGTTCTCAGCTTCCTTTAGAGATGGTCGGGAAAAGAGGCAATTCATCAGTGGTTTATAACTAACACATGTTAGGAATTTAGTGGACTGTGTCCTTTATTCTTGCTTGGTCTCCTCATAGACCTGACTCAGGACAGAAAAACAAACTTGGCTAATATAAGGCAGATGTGATTTCAGATGACTTTTAGTAATCCTGCAATAGCAAACACAGCAAGGAAAGGTTATTTGACCTGTTCATTAACAAGTGAGCACCTGTCCAACTAGACTGGGGGCCACCCCAGGCATTGAAGCTGTAATCTGTGTTCCCTCCCCCAGGCCAGTAGTCTCTTTCCCAGGAAGTTTTCGAGACTCATCCAAGTGCTTGAATGAGCAAGACCACATATTTGTACCTTAGGATACATCAATCTATTGGATTTTTTTCAGTTTAAATATGATTTTATATGTTGCTTCTTTTGTGTTATCATTACTTCATATTGTTCTTATGTGTTATCGTTACCCAACTCTTATGATTTATTATTTATTCGTTGCTTTCTCAAATTCCCCTCATTCTAGCAGTATTAGAAAAATGTGTAATAGTAAGAAAGGAAGGGGAAAATAGATAAAGATAATGGAGTAGGGAGGAATGTCACAAAAATACCTACAGCCGGGGCCTCCCCAGTGGCGCAGCAGTTGAGCGCTGGGTTGTGAAGCTGCCTGCAGCCTCTGCAGCACCGGTTCGATCCCTGGCTGCTCCCCGGCCACCAGAGGAGGGTACCACATGGCATGCAGACCTCTCCTGCCGCCCGCTGCTCCCCTCAGCAGTGTACTCATCAGTCTGCCTGTTCTGCTCCCTGCTCTGGCTCTGGTGAATTCTCTCACCCTCCCGCGCTTCTGACTGTACCCAGTGGTTGTATAAATAAATAAATCTTTAAAAAAAAAACAAAACAAAACTCAAGCCTTTGAAAAAAAAAATACCTACAACCACTAATGGCTCTTAGGCCATACCAGTCACTACACTAGGTCATATTGCTCAAAAGTTAGCCATTATGTCATCAAAAGTACTTACGCACACAGAGAATGGTTGAGTATGAATTTGAACCAACCATAGATTTGAAATACCAAGAAAAGGCTAATGTGGTTGTCTTGTTTCTCATTTTCCAGCAAACCTCAGTCAGAAACATTGAAAGCAGGAGACTTGAGGACACGTATTAGCCGATGTCAAGTGTGCATGAAGAGAACATAACATTTTGAAGAATACTTTGTGTGCTTTTAACTGTGAGATATATATTTCCCCGGATGCAATGTCTCACTATCCCCAACTACCACTGTTGTCACCAATGGTGCTACTGTATATGACCAAGAGAACATGCTGACTAGTAACCACAACAATTCAGATGTACCTCAGCAGTGTGCTAGAGCAAGGTCTCTATTATTTTTCTACGAAAGAAATAAGGAAATGAATTTACTTTTTGGGTCCAGAATGACTTTCTCCAAGGATTATGAGATGAAGATTATATATTTTGCCGGGTAACTAAAACGGCATGTTAAAAATTCAATTAAGAGAAGAATCACACTGAGTAAAATAAAAGACTGCAGTTTGGGGAAAGAATTATTTTTCATGGTGCTACTAATCCTACTGTATCCCAGGTTTTTAATATAAAAGTGTTAAGCTTATTTTGCTCTGTAAGTAAAGAATGTGTATATTATATAAACAGCCTTTTAGCTCAAAATGTTGAGTCATTTAGATGTGACCTGATATGAATCACTCTTTACAGAAAATGTAGAAAATCCTAAAATACAGACAGCAAAATTTTATATCCGTGTTTATTGAAGTGAGAGAATTTCTATTCTTGCATCAAGTTACTACTGAGAGTAAATTTATTTTGGTTTTAATCCCTAAGTTCTTATTTGAAATTTTATTAAAAATAGGTCATTTTAGTCACTTTAATGTCATTTAGTCACTTTAATCAGATTTTTAAATGTTCAGGTAACATACCATTCTCTTAACACCAACTGCCCTGTTTTAATATTTCCTATATCTTGTTTTTGCTCATTCTGTGCTTCTTTTGTAAGAATTATTATTCTCCTATGATCTCTGCTCGGAGCTGGGAAGACAATGTTTTGTTCATTGTCTCTCTTCAATGACAAAAAGCCAGTTGATGTTTTTATTATTTTTTATTTTATTTTAAACATTTTGTTATAGTCATAGAATATCTTATTTCCCTGGCTGCCATCTTTTCACATGTTTCTTAATTCACCAATATCAATTTAATTAAAGTTATTTTATAAAGATGGTTTGTTGTGTATGACTTCAGCCTGTGTGTAAAAATCTGCTCATTTGCAGCTAGACAACACATAGCACATCAGCAAGTAGTCCCCTCTCAGAGAATAATTTAGAACAATTCCAAACCAAAGATGCTTATGGAGACTTTGATTATTCTGATAAATGATAGAAAATATAACATATAGTAATATAAACTTTTTCCAGTGAACAAAACAACCCATTGGAAGATATTTTTGAGATAATAAATGTACTAACAACATTGTTGGTGAGTAAGAAAGGAAGCTGAACTACTTTCTATTTGGGGAAGAATTCATTAATAATGTTTAAAACATATTAGGAAGTTAATATTCCTATTGATTAATTATGAACAGGTATCGCTCTCTAAAATAACCGCTGCACCAGGGTGCAGCGGTTGAGCACTGGGCTGTGAAGCTGCCCGCAGCCTCTGTAGTGCCGGTTCGATACCCGGAGAGGGTTCCACATGGCACCCAGACCTCTCCTGCTGCACCCACTGCTCCCCTCAGCAGTGTATTTCGTCAGTCTGCCTGTTCTGTTCCCCGCTCTGGCTCTGGTGAATTCCCTCACCCTCCCGTGCTTCTGACTGTACCCAGTGCTTGTATAAATAAATAAATAAATAAATAATTAAATAAATAAATAAATAAATCTTTTAAAAAATAATAAAATAACCAAAGACTTGCTAAAAGAGGCAATGAAAGCCTCTATAATAAAATTTCTGTTACAGCTAAAATATGGAGCAATCAAAATGATTTTGAGAATTTTAGACCCTAACATGAACCCATACAAAATCTAAACCTTGGAGTTCTATAGTGGTAAATTTTAGGGTCTAAACAGTAGTAACTCTCTAATAACACTGTTTATTTGAAGGCTAGTCAATTGTATATTCAGGCTTTACTTTTCCATGTAGCTAAATGCATGAAAACACTAATTGGTGATTATAACTAAGAAATACCATATTACATCCCACAGATATTTTTCTTCATGCTATACACTGGAAGATTGCTGTTTGAACTACAGTTGTAAATGCTAAATCTAGAAACTTCGCTACTTGCAGTTTTCCTTTTCATTTTTAATTAGTTGAAAACCTTGGCTCAAATAGAATATCCTAATATTTTAATAGTTGCATATGCAGCTAGTCTATGTGTGTTTCTTAACTCTCCATTACTGTCCTCAGCCCTGATTTGTTGTTTGAAGTACATGAACCCAGTTGATTCCAGGACCTTAATGTTGTTTAGCCTCCCTTGCCACTAAATATTTGAAGATTATTCTGATATAACTGCTCTAATAGTTATCTATAGTGAGTTTTGTAGTCATACACACTTAATGGTTTTACAACACATGTAGACAATGAATGACCTGTTCTGCTTAATCACATAACTTTTATTAGCAAATGGTTATTACATGTACCAACCATATGGGTGTGTGTTATGTGTGTGTGTATTTTCAAAAGAGGTTTTGTTGGACACCTTGTGATTTTGCATTGTCTTTTTTCATCACCACTAAATTTGAAAAACACTTTCTATTTCTTGTGGTGCCAATGAGTTTCTTTGCTCTGATTGACATGTTTAATTGAAAATTCACTGATCATGCCAAGCCATCAATTTATTCATATGTTACTCACAAGAGGGCACTATTGCCTATAAAAGCATGTGAGCATGTATATAGTGATTTTTTTGAGCTCATTGTTGGTGGTGGTGTTTTCTAAAACCCTGCCTCCAGATTCCTTATTTCAAGCTTATGTACGCTTTCATCCCCAAAAAGATCAATAGCAAGTATTTTAAGAGGTGGCCCAGTTTCCCAATGTTTGCATCCAAAATAAGGGACAGCTTTGCCATCAAAGATTCTCTTAAGAGCCTTATTATGAGTTGGCTCTGGCAGTACTTCCTGTGCCTCTCAACACAGAAGGAAAGAATAGTCATTTTTGTTTGGCCAGAACTTCACTTGGCTTCTTTAGCAGAGAAGTTCTGTTCTCAGGCTGGAATATACAAACACCTTCATCTACCAGCAGCTCCATCATAAATTGAATAATATTTAAAATCAAATGTCATTTCCATTTTAGAGCAGTGGTTCCTAGAACATCTTCAAGTTTTTTGTATTGTGGAAATACTCATAATTTGGGACAGTGAAGGTATAAATCCAAATGTACCTGTCTCTCAAGTTCCATGGTGTGAGCATTCATTGGATACTTTTTAGTTGTGGGCACCATGATAGGCAGCAATCCAAAATCAACTGAACCAGATAAATATGTCATCACCACAAAGTACGCTCTGTGTGAAAAGGTACACTATTGTTTGCCTGCCAAATCTTACTAATGCTAAGCTAGACTTGGTTAGATCCCGAGGGTCTTTGCTAGCAAAAGCTGTCTGGAGAAAGCTGGCTCACCAACCTGTTGCTTAACACATGGAGAAGCTAAAATCACTTTTATGTAAGTTTAATTCTGTATTTCTTTATCAATGAACAGCTTTCCCAACATCCCAACTCCATCAGATGACAAATTGCTGGCATCATATCCCTTTATGCTACATATCTTCTGTTTTCCAGAACTACATGGCATACTTCACCCTGCTTTCTGCCCCTGAGAATTTCTGGTCTCCTGGCTTCTCACTGGGTTCAAACCAATGGATTATTCGAGCAGGACAGCAGAGTGAGAGATGAGACCAAGGTTAGGGTATTTGTTTTCAAGGGGCTTGTGGGCCTCAGCTTGGCTTGTGCCTCTTCATCGAATGTGTCTGTTTCTCTCAGGATGATCTGATCTTAGTTATCTTCCCTCTAGTTTGAGTAACGTCTTCTCATTCCTTCAGATCTGTGCTTATGATGACAAGTCCACTCTGCTGCTAGCCCTAGATTCCTGCACTGTTTGTGATTCCCCTACACACCACCTATTTCTTAATAATTAAACTCCTCAGATTATTTGAATTTAAGTCTGTTTTCTGTTGACAACCTGAGTAATGCATAGCTACTTCTACTTTTCCAAAAACTAGTGGAGGTGTTTTATTCTATATAAGGCAAAATGGGGGTGAATTGATAAATCTGATATACATGACTATCATCTCCCACATTGGACTGAAAAATAGACTAGCAGAAATATGACTTAACATCACTTAATATAAGATCTACTTTACCAGGCTTTATTAAAAGCTGTGTTCCATGTTTCTTACAATGAAACAGAGCAAAAAGTAATGTCCATTATGATCCTAAATTGTTAAGCTTTTTCTAAATATTGTCTCAGTGGATCTTGAAAGAGTACATTTAGACGTCCCACCCCCGCATCACAGGTGGTTATTTGGCTAGCTCCATCCTATTCAAATGAACAATCTCAGTTGCCTCATTGACAGACTAGATTTTAAGCACCAATAACTGATCTCAAAACTCCAGAAAGCTGGTACTACTACTTTAGAGAAATCTGCCAGGCCAGGTAACATTCCTGAAGTCAGTAAAAAGCCCCAAAGTGTTACCAGGTCAATAAATACGGAAGTACCGAAAACAATTGATTTTCTAGCTTCAAGAGCCTCTGAATGATGAGCCTGTGTAAGTACTTCAGATCTGCTTCCCTTCCTTTCATTAAGAGTAGCAGAGTGATTGCTTAGACTGGAGGTTACAAAAGACTGAACAGGCTCAAGCCAAAGGCAGTCTGAGAGTATTTGCTAGTTTCAACCAGGTTCTAAAGGAGCCTACTAAGAAGTGAATATATTTTACTTTAAATTAAAATAGTTTTCTATTTTATTTTCTTGGGGCCAATAATGTGCTTGCTATTGCCAGTCTATCACAATGGTAAACTCAGGTGTCAGAGCTTTGTTCACTCTGACACAATAATTAGGGCTGTAAGGAAGACTACTTCTGATGTCTTTAGCAACAAAAGTAACCCATTTATACAGTTTTCATTAAAATGTCATTCTTCACACATTATTTCATCTGAGCTCAATAATCCTCCTGTAGTCAAACTGCAAGAATTGATTTCCATTTTATAGATGTAGAAGCTGAAACTTAGAATGGATAAATGACTTTCTGAAGGTTGCAGGCAAAGTTTCCACATTTTTTTCACTCAACATCTAATCAAAAACCACAGAATCTCAGGTGGGGTAGTGAGTCATAGCACTACAGGTGTCTCTACCTCATAAGAAGAGACAAGCTGCGTCTTTGGAAATCTTGGTTCCCAGTTAAGGATAAGTGTTTTTCTCACCCTTTAGAGTTAGCCCTTGGTCACTGGGGACCAACAGTGAATTGACTGTACCTCATGATATTCTTGTTTGTCTGGTCTAAGCCTCTGCAGCTAAAGAAACCCTATGAGTCTGGCCTGGTGCCCACCTTGGATGAACTTCCTCAGGGTACTTGATTCCAGACAAACTTCTGGAGTTTGAATGCTCTGGTCTGCAAACCCTTCAGCACTAGTAGTGATCAAGTAAGGACCAGAGTGTATGACTATTACCTGAGACTGTGTGGATACTGTCTATTCCAGACAATGCAGAAAGTACTCAGTAAATGGAAAAACGGTTTTATTTCTAATAGGAAAGTTATATTTTATTTATGTTAACGTACATCAACACAGAAACAACTTGAGCTTACTAACTATAACCTCCATTGATCATATGTCACATGTAGGAGCTTTCCTTATTTGGCTCCCTTCAGCAAAAATTTACACTGGGAATTAGATGAAAAAACACCAAGCCAACTGGGCCACGCAATATGTGGTTATTTATCAGATTAGAGAGAGAGGAAAGGTTAAAGTCAAGTTGAAAAACATCTGGGCTAAAATGGAGCCCTGCTTAACTTATACCAAAATAGTAAGAAGCTAGGTTTTAAGATAACTGGGTTTAAATATGTTTTTAAGTCTACTATGTACAGCTATAGCAGCTATTGCTCACCTTCAGGCCAACAGCAGCATAGAAAACTACCCCCCATGAAGAGTAAGGAGAGAACAGCCGAAAAGACATTTTCATAAACACATCCTCCTACTCTGAGAAACCAGTATTTTATCCTCTCTGAGCAAGCTGAAGCAGCCGTGGGAACATGACAATGTGCTAAAGTTTTTCTCCTTGCAGCTCTATTAGCTTTTGCTTCATCTATTTTGAAGATCTGATATTATTTACATAAATATTTATGATGGTTATGTCCTCTTTATGAAAAGATCCCTTT